AAACAATATGATATCCGTTTTTTTAGATTATAGTCTAGTGACGTTTCCCCAGAATTTCATTTTGTGATTCCACTTTATTTCAAGTTGGAACTTAAAAGATCCTTTCTGTTAAATTCTTTTTTTCCCGTTAGGAAATCACCTGTGGTCGAAACTTCAATTTTATAGCCAAGTACTCTCATCAACTGAGACATAATTAACAATTATTCCACGAGTGCACGTTGAATATGAGATGGTAGTTAGCCAACGAGGCGCGTAGCGCCGTGTTGGCTATAATCATGTCATATCCAACAAGTGCGAGTGCAATACTTGTTTTATTAAAAACGCCCACAAAATTTCGAGAATTCTTCTCGAATTTATCTGTAAAAACAACCGATTTTCAGCTTGTTTTTAATTTTGAGCAGACTCGTAAAGTTACCATATTAGGAGAGCATGGTAAATTGGCCCATATACCATGATGGCTACGCCAATCAGAGCTCTATTATCCAATGATTCAGCTTTTAATAGAATAATTTTCTAACTATGAATATGTAATATAACGTATATTTAACAATTATTCTTTGAAATCGAGGTGAATAGTGGCTAAATATTTACCACGAAAGTGGCGAGGTAAATATTCCTAAAGCCACTATTCACCGAGATTGAAAAGAATAATTGTTTTAGTATATACACACGAAGTGATCTCAACAATTAGTCTCTCCTTTGGTAATTTTTCATGCTAAACTAACTGAGATCAAATCACGCGTAAGTTTAAAAATAGATCTTTGCAGAATTTTCAAACATGGCAATTCACAAGTTTATCATTTCGCAAACAACAGCGTGATGGCTTAAATGGAACTGCTAAAAGTTTGAACTGTTTCCTTACCTGAGAAGAAAAGCAGAGCTTTGTTGTTTTCTGTTGACTCGCCAAGTTTATAGCCAAAAGGGTTTGTTGTGTCGTTCTTCGCATGAAGTGCTGACAAAAATGGCGGCTCGGTTGCTCGAGGTAAGACGTCGTCTTAGTGTATCATTCTTTTTCCTGTTTACTTGAAACGTAGAGATTCCTTTTAAATTTATTTGTCATAAATAAACTTCGATTTTTGAGCCAAAATTTTCTTGTTAGAAAACGCTCAGTTCACGAAACGGCTTCTTCTACGCGAATACATAACGGGAGTTGTAAACAATCCATCGAGCACAAAACTCAGCTACAGTATTAAAATTGAAAAACGCCGTATTGAATCCTTCCAAGTCTTTTCTTGCCTTAAAAAAAGTCATCCCTAGGATTCTGTCGACTTTTAAAAGATCGTTCTCTAAAAAAATGGGAAAAACACCGAGCTCACACATTATCCATTCGCTAGGAGGTAAATATTGTTGAATAGTCCGAGATAGCGAACCAATCAGATTGCTTAAATCACCAAGATCACTGATTGTGTATATACTAAAACATAATATACATTCTGAACTGGTTAGAACAACTTTCTAGAATGCTCAACTTTTCAGGAGCGATAAATAATATAATGAAATTGTAGTTCAAGACTACAGATGCGTTCTTCGCTTTTGTTACAATGTATATCTGAGTAGATTTGCAAAAACATGGCTATAGAAATCTCTCTCATATAGCTTCTGACTGAGCTCTTGTAGTGAAGCATGTTTTTTTTTTTACTGAATAGGCTGCAGTAGATACACTTTGATGAGTTCCTCACTGGCTATTAACATACTCCCCCCCCCCCCCCCCCCACAACAAACAAACACACACAACACTACCAAAACTCTATTCCTTTTTCTCTATTTCTAATTCATCGCTATCTACTCGACCAATGAACGGTCCGAATGTTTTATGGTTTGTTTGTTGTGGTTGGGTGGTTCGTTCTGTGTGGGTGTTAAAATTGTTTTTTTTGTTTTTTTTCATATGTTATTTGATGAATTTTTAAAAAAAATGTGTTTCAAAAACTTTTTTTAATTAGTTTTGTATGAATCTTTTTTATGAAATTTTTTTTTTTTTTTACTGAAAAGGGTGCAGTAGAAACACTTTGATTGATTCCTCACTGGGTATTAACCTACCCTCCCCCCCCCCCAAAAAAAAAAACAAAGTTTCTCATAACTCCCCATAATTCTCTCTGTATGTCAGTTTGAAATCAGCGCGCGTATCAGACTAAACTCGGCTCTCGTAGTGGGTTGTCTTAGAGTTGTTTTGGCTGCCTTGAGCAAAGTTTTCCGGAAGGCATCATTAGGCCTTATGAAGGAACAATTCTCAAGACTAGCAAAGTCTGCTGCGTCCAATATCTTCTCGTATTTCGTCTAATTTCGGGCTACACAGGTGAAAGACTGATCCCGGGCTTGAGACGGACAGATTGGATATTGCGAGCTTTGTTGTTGGCAGTAACAAGTTAATAATAATGAAATCTATTCGGCAGATGGAAATTGACGCTGATTTCTGACCAGCCCAGAGACTTAGTGAAAAATTGTTTGGAAGGCGGGGGCTGTATGTCTCCTTTTCAACCGCTGGTTTCATCCGAGATCTTGA